TTGTTCTGAGCTGCCTGACACGGCTCTGGGAATTGAACTCAGGTCCTTTGGGAGAGAGTCAGTGCTCCTAACCTATGAGCCATCTCTGCAGTCCCTGATCTTCTGGTTTGAGAATACTTTGGCTCTTCTGAGGACAGCCCTGGCCTTCAGGCTGGGGTTTCTGTCCCGAGGAGATAAGGTCAGCTGAGTGACTCTTAAGGCTTGGTGTTTTGTAATCTTAATATCGCCTTGTTCTTGTTCTTCTTACAACTAAGTAAAAACACGGATGAGTGGGTGGGAACAAGAAAAGGTCAGGACAAACAGACTGACAGCTGTAGTGGTTTCTGCTTGTGATCCCAGCACATGAGGCCAGCCTGGGCTGTATATCAAGACCCTGTCACAAATGGGTTCTCATTTGGCTGGGTGAGTTACAAATGGCTGGTCGGTAGACACAGGTTGGATGATGGGTAGCTAGATAGGTGTATAACGGTTGAATGGATGGGTGTGTACAGACAGATGGACAGGAGCATCAGGAGAGCTCTCAGGGTCACCATAGGTCTTACTTAACAGTAATAGCCTAGATCCCAAGAGCTGGCATGCTGTAGTAACAGTTAGAGTGTAGTAATCTCTGGAATTACACAGAAGTGGACTCGGATCATGACACTACACTACCACTGGCCACTGTAGACAAAGGACTTAACTTTTTGTTTTTTTTTTTAAATTTTGAGATATGGTCTCCCTGTGTATCCCTGGCTGTCTTGGAACTTTCTATGTAGACCAATCCAGCCACAAACTCACAGAGATCCTCCTGCCTCTGCCTCTTAAGTGCTGGGTTAAAGGCAGGACTTTAACCTCCTGAGACACAGCTTCTTTTACTGTCAAAAGGAAGGGTCCACACTAGCATCTACCTCCTCAGAGTGGAGGAGAGAGGTGAAGTGGGCTACATCCTTAGCATGATGCCTGGTAGGCTGTGAGTTAGCAGCAGTGGTCTCATCAAGCACTGAGACCTTCTGCATGGTGGATGCCTTGCCTACAGGATAAAGAAAGTAGACATGGAAGTGCCACAGATATGCAAATAACATGATAGCGTTCTGTGAAGAGCTGCAAGTTATGCTAATGACACGTGGGTGGCCTCTAGGCAGAAGGCAAGGTGACACAATAAAGGGGCCAAACAAAGTTAAACACTGCATTCACAAAGAGTTGTCCAAGCTGGCTACGGTGGCACAAGCCTGCAATCCTGGCACTTAGGATGTAGAGACAGGAGTATCCAGAATTCAAGATCATCCTTTGCTACACAGCAAGTCTTGGGCTAGCCTGTGCTACACGAGACTGTCTCAGAAGGAAAGAGGGAGAGAGGGAAGGAAGGAAGAAGGAAGGAAGAAAGGAAAGAAAGATGATGATAGAGCAAATGAGAAAAGAAAAGAAAAAAAAAAGAGAGACAGTTATCTAGAGCCAAGCATGATGGCCCATAGGTTCTGGGCCAGCCTAGGCTATAGAGTGAAACATGAGAAATGAGGTTCAGGAGAACAGAAAGGCTGACCTTTGCTCTCTAAATCATTTCTTGGATGCTCTTTCTGGGAGCCCCGTATTTGGAATGAGTTTGCCTACCAGACTGTTGGTTACATAATTGCCTGGGCACCCAAATCAAGGGGAAAGGTGAGATTTTGAAACAGTTGTAGCTCAGAGTGTCCCAGCCCTCGCCTTCAGGAGATTGAGAGCAGGGAGCAGAGTCCCACATTTCCCCACAGTGCTTCCTTCACACTACTGTCATCCACAGCAGCTTTGGGACATGCTGCTTTAGGTTTCGGAGCTAGCAGAGGTGGGGAAGGGCCAGAGTTAGGTCAGACCTCTCAGCTCCCACTAGAGGACAGCGAACACTCATCATTCCTGTCCCCCTCCTAGAGGACAGTGAACACTCACCATTACTGTCCCTGGAGCTGGAGTGGGCTGAGGGAGGACAGGGGAAGGTAAATTGTGACCGAGAGGAAGCTGGGTCTGCAATCCAAATCACAGAGTCCCATTCTGTACTTTTGTGTTTAGTGACCTTTGTTTTTGGTCCTGGGACTCAAACCCAGGACCTCGTGTGTGAGAGGCAAGTTACTCTACCACTGTGCTATAGCCCCGGCTTTTTGTTTTTGTTTTGAGATGAGATCTTGCTTTCTAGCCCCAGATGGCCTCAAACATTTTATTATTATTTACTTATGCTTCCCTCTCTGTTTTTGTGTCTGTGCATGTGGGTGTGTGCGTGTGTGTTCATGTGTGTGTGTGTGTGTGTGTGTTGTGTGCACATGTATGCTTTAGGAGTCCAGGAGAGGGCATTATTGACTCTTCTGGAGCTGGAGTTACAGGAGGTTGTGAGTTGCCATGTGGGTTCTGGGAACTCAACTCTGGTTTTCTGTGAGAACGAGTGCTCTTAACCACTGAGGTACCTCTCCAGACTCAGGCTAACCACTGAGCTACCTCTCCAGACTCAGGCTTCAGACCTTTGCTTTGAGTTAGGGTCTCATTATATCTACGTGGCCTGAACTCACCATGCAGACCAGGGTAGTCTTGATGTCTCTGCCTCTGCTTCTGGATTGCTGGGATTAAAGGCATGTACCACCATGCCTAGCTTACCTTTGGTGTTCTTTCCTCTGTTTTCTGATTGCTGAAGTTATGGATGTGCTGCCGCAGGCTCTTTAGGACGAGTATGACTATGGTGGGAGTAAATGGTCTTCTTTTGTGCCATGGTCTATCCTAAGCACTCCCCGGGCATCAGATAGCTCATTGACCCCTTCACAGTGTATGGATAAAATGGGTATAAACTATTATACCCACTCAGATGAGGAAACTGAGGCCTAGGAGCATGCAGCAGTAAATGCATCCGGGGTTTGTCTCCAGCTCCAAGGCATACACTTTCTCTTCTGTGCCACAATCTCCTAGAGATGGGTCCTGCTGCCTGGCTCAGGAGATACAGCCCGTGGACAGAGCCCTGGTAACAACCTTTTAAGTGGGGGTATCAGAGGCGCAATGGAAAAAAATGTTTAGGCTCACACAGCCCAGCACTGCTTAGCAGAACGAGAAAGCTAGGGCCAGAAATGTAAGCCCAAACCTCAAAAGTCTAAGTCGGGATGACCAGAAGTTCACCTCAAAAACCCAAGAACAAGGATAAGTGAACAGCTCAGTAGATAAAGGCACATACTGCCCCTACCTGAGTTTGCTCTTGGGCCCCTGAGGTGGAAGGAGGGAACAGACTCCTGATGGTTGTCATCTGACCTCCACGCAGACACAGCATGCTAGGCCCCTCCCAATAAGCAAATAAAAGCAATTTACAAAAAAGAGTCCTGTGACATTGGTACATAGCTGGACCAGTCCTGGTACATTGGTACAAAGCATATGCCATTTCTTAGAGGATGTGGGAGTGAGGATGTGTTTGTGTGAGAGACAAAGAAAAACAAGATCAAAGGTGTGCATGCCTGCATGTGCACGAGTGCACACATGTACACATGGACATGGTTACTGGAGTGCACACATGCATGCACACATGGACACTTGGACGTGGTTACTGGAGTGCACACATGCACACATGCACACATGCACACATGCACACATGGACATGGTTACTGGAGTGCACACATGCACACATGGACACATGGACATGGTTACTGAGGGCTTCCCCTGTTTCAGCACCTTCCACACTTCTTTAGGCCACATGAGGAAATCCTTCTCTCTCTCTCTTTCTCTCTCTCTCTCTCTCTCTCTCTCTCTCTCTCTCTCTCTCTCTCT